CAAAAGCAGATCATACACAGGATCACCAACACCTGCAAGTTCCCCTCCAAGTAATTCGCCATTCTGACTTGGAAATATATTGCTTTTCCTGAGGTTTTGTTGGCCCAAACTCCTGGAACTCTCTCACTAACAATGTTGTCGGTGTACCTACATGTGATGATTCAAGAAGGCAGCTCACCTCACCAGCACCTACTCAAGTGCAACTAAGGATGAGCAGTAAATACTGGCTCAGACATTAACACCCACATTCCATGAATGAATTTTTTAAAAGAAAAAATGACATGGAGAATCAGAAGACTGACATATGTAGGGAGAAAGAGAGTGGTCAAGGGGAGAAAAGAAATATTTGGATAGGAATAGGCCACAATGGGTTGAAGACCAACTTCAGCTTATTGGTTTTGGGAAAGAGTTAGAAGTTGCCTGGTTGGAGGTCCAGGAGGTTGGAAGCTGAAGAAGGAAAATCTTCAGATTAGATGAGATCAGTTACAATCTTGATATTTGATAGGGTCATGATCCAAAGATAGACAGGAGGAAGTGGTGGAGATTTGACATTTGGCCAGTGCTAGATAGAGGCCAGTACAACAGTCAACATCAGCACCTCCCTTTCAGCAGGTTCAATGATGATGTTAGAGTTGGATCTGACAGAACACAGTGTAGCCTGTTTAGAGGGAAGTAGGCTAGAGTGAGTGATGGGCACAGAAAAATTGAGACAGTTGATGTCATACCAGTTCTTGTTGTACATATCTAGAGAGAGTAAGATTTTGGAAGGAGGAGTCCAAGTGATGGGGATAATGAAAGTACCTGTTACGCAGGGACAAATCTCCACATGAAGTAAGTGGGCTTGCGGCAGAGGCGAATGAAGAAAAGCTCAGCATTATGCGAAGCTCAAAATTTGATTTGGGACACATGGGATGTGGAATGAAGCTGAGAACAAAGCATGGAATTATCATGAATTCTTGGCATTGCTGACAAAGGGTGAAATTTGTTAATAAATGCATTGAAGTGCAGGGAAGGGAAGGGGAGGAAGGATCTGAAGGGGTGCTGGTGTCCATTAGTTTGTAGAATTTAATTGGTGTTTAATTAGTTGAATTGCTGCTTGAATTAGGTGGGAAAGACTGCCACCTTCCCATCCCACCTGTAGGAAAGCTTGCAAGGTGGAATGAGGAAACCTACATGCCGGCTGACAAAATGCAAGAATCTGATCTGTCATCATAGGACCTAAAAATCTGGCCCCTGATGGTTTTTAGCTGCAGCAGGCATTAAATGTTTGATCAATTCCCCACATAGCAGACTGTCTCAACTGAATTGGATGAAATTGGAGATATTTTAATCTCAGCATCTGTGGAAAAAAAAAGACAGCAGCCTAACGGCTGACACAGAAAAGAGTTGGAAAATGTAGCCAGGAGAAAAACCCAGCAACAAAGTTCTAGAACTGGTGTTTCATGCAAGGAAACGGAAGAATATGTTATAGAATATTCTCCTCTAAAAACAAAACAGGTCAACAGGCTTGGGAAAAGAAAATTACAGAGTAAATGATCCACAGAGCGCGGTGGACCTGAACATAGCTCAGAAAGAACTTACAGTTTGAAATATCAAATCACCAACTCAGATAGGCATGGCACACAGTACACCCTTATAACCTTAAATTATTTTGTGTCAGATCATCCCAGCAGTTAATGTTTGGGTTTACTGTGCATTTCTGCCTTGAGAAGAAACAACCCATTTCAGTCCTTTGTATGCATGAAGAAAACATGAAGAAAGCTGCAAGTGGGACCCAGGATCTTTTACACGTCAGAGCTAATATCTTTGTTATCTGTTTCTTATCTCCCTATTCAAATGCAGACAGTTTGAACCTCAAAGGTTTTTGTCAACTCCTGAAACCAGTTGGGTCCACTGTCCGTGGATGTGAATGATGAATGCAAAGGTGTGAACATAAATTTTATGCGTGCAGCCCTCACATCCCATTTTTCCTCACTCATGGGTCTGGTCAGCAAATTTCAGAAAGACGACATAAGAAAGAGAATTAGGCCATTTGGTCCCTCCTACCTACCCCACCAATCAACAGGATCATAGTTGATCTGTCCTGGGCCTCACCTACTCTTTTGTGCGAACTCAGCACAGCCATCAATTCCTTGATATTTCAAAAAGCTATTCATCTTCTCTTTAAATACTTTCAGTGATCTAACCTCCAAAACTGTCCAAGGTAGAGAATTCCACACATTAACTCTAATCTGGGAGAAGAAATTCCTTTGCCTCTCAGTTTTAAAATAGTGTCCCCTTATTCTGTAATTGCGTCCCCTCATTCGAGATTTTCCCACTAATGGATATATTTTCTCAAAATCTACCCTATCGTACTCACTCAGAATCTTGAATGTTTCAATTAAGATCACTTCTCATTCTTTTAAACTGTAATGAATAAAGGTCTGACCTTTTAGTCATTTTTGATAAGTCAACTACTTTGTCCTAGGAGTCAGCCGAGTTAATCTCTTTTGAACTGCCTACAATGCCAGTATATCTTTTTTCAATTACAGCAATCAAAACTGCAATTAGTAATCCAGGTGTGGCATCAGCAACACTTTGTACAGTTGAAACAAGACTTACGTGTTTTTAGATTTCAACCTGCTAGCAATTATTGCCAAAAATTCAATTTGTCTTCTTGATAACTTGTTGCATGTACATGCTAACTTTATGTTTCATGCACAAGAACACCCAGATCCCTCTGTGCTGCTAACTCTCTCTCCGTTTAAATAATAGTCCGCCTATTGATTCTTCCTAAGAAAGTGCATGATCTCACACTTTCATATCTTAAACTCCCTCTACCATGTCTTCGCCTACTCACTCAATCTCATTTCCAGATTCCCTTGCTGATTCCTTATGCCCTCATTTATTTTTGTATCATGAACAAATTTGGATACGTTACATCCTGTCCCCTCTTCCAAGTCATTAATATTGATAATAAATAATTAAGGCCCTAATGATCCTTGTTGCACTCCACTAGTTTCATATTTCCAACCAAAAAGCTGATCCATTAATCTCAACTCTCTGTCTTCTGTGTGTTAACCAATCCTCAATGCATGTTAATACATTTACCACAAATACCAGGAGCTGCCCTCTTGGCAAAAAACTTCGGTATACAGTAAACTTGAATTTCAGAAAGAAATACAATTCCAAATCACTAAATCAATAGTTTAAGTAAACAAGTAATCAACAAAACTGACCATTAAAAATCAACAAGCAGCAGAGCTAATTAATAAAATTCATTTTGCCCTTTCTGTTAAGAAGCAGAGCCAGAGAACTTCAGACACACATACAAGTCCTTACTACTAGATGAGGACCAGGGTCAAACTAAAGTGTTGGGTTTAACTAACACTGACCTTGCATTCATCTTTGTTGGCAACATTCAGAGCTGAGTTTGGCAGACTTCATACGCAAGTGGGGATTGAAAACAGGTAGCATTTCTCCTCTCCCAGCCTAATCTGTGGATAGGTGTTTAGGGAGAAGAGGAAGGATGGGTGTTTGTTTGGCTCACTCTCAGAGTTCAAACACTCCCTCTTCTACTTGCGTGCGCTCTCTCCTCTCCCACACACCTTCTTCTACTACCCTTACTCCCTCCCACACATTCACATTCTTCCTCCACTTCCCTACATTCCACTCTCCCTCCCTCATATGCTCACTATCTGTCCCTTCCTCCTTCACACACTCCCCTTTTCCCCGCTCCCTCTCTTGTGACTCCGTGGGAAGCCACTCTGTTATCTTGACAGCCTCATTCAGGGACATGTGTGCCGGTACCCCTGACTCACTTCCTATCTCGGAGACCTGCACCTGCACAGCAAACACAACTCATCCCTCGCTGTTTCTTGCTTGTCCACATAGCAGACTCACTTTTCTGGCCACTGTTCCTGCTGCATAGACCTCAGGCGGAATGAATCAGGTTGGTGCTCATGTGCAGGATAGGACTCATTGTTGGGTGGGATTGTGGCCAATGAGCCACCTATTGGCCAAGCTTATATTAAGCTACCTAATCACAACAGCAGAAGCATCAATTTTTTTTCAATGAGCATATATCTGCACTTCAGCAGCCAAGATCAGTTGCTTTTTCTTAGCCATATATTGTAACCTGCAACCTTCTCCAAGTAAGAAATTAAAGAACTTGCATTTACACGGAACTTTATACAACCTCAGGCCATAGCACATTGGCTGAGGTCTTACAGTCTCGGGATCATTGGAGGCAGGAGGTATGACTCAAGATGCACATTGGGACTTTCTCAAATAAAGACTTACCTGTGCCCCCTTCAACCAAATTAAAAGCAAAGTATTGTGGTGATCTGAAATAAAGGCAGAAAGTGCAGGAAAAACTATTGAGGTCTAGCAGCATCTGTGGACAAAGAAACAAAAGGATTTTGGTTAAAGAGCAACAGGGTGGTAAGGTTTTTTTTAACATGTTTCGCATCTGATAAGACTTCTTCAGAACTGACCTGATTGGTCCTCAACCTGACAACCCTGCCTGACTCAACTACCTATTCACCTAGATGCAACTCTGTCTATTAACTGCACCTGAGCCCATTCTCCCGTTTGCTAAGATTCATACTGGACGTGTAAACCTGCTTTCGAGCAACTTGTGCAATAAAAATGGATGCAGCTTATCTCCCTGCCAACCCTACCTTGCTATGGTAGAGCTTTCTTCTTGGGACTGTATTCTCCACGTATCTGAGGAAGTCAAAATTTGGAGACAAAATCAGAATTCCAAAGTAACGGAGTGGCAATCTGATGGTGATTGCTGCCTCACATAAAATCCAGGCCATTTTGGAAATTAGCTGCTATGTTTTCCTGAATTACAACAGTGATCACACTTTGAAATATTTAATTAATTGTGAACTGTTTACAACATACAGTTGTGTGCATGGAGACATTATACATCTTTATTTCCGTGGAAGTAGATATGTATGCAAAAAGTGAAATGTGATGAAATTAATGGAGATATCTCTTTGGTATTTTTCCAGATACCTTTGCCAGCAAAGTTGCAGCATTACAAGACCAATATGCAGATGCCTCCATTGGGAATGTGACTGGAAGCAATGCTGTAAATGTGTTCCTAGGTATTGGAGTCGCTTGGTCTGTTGCTGCCATCTACTGGGCTACTAAGGGGAAAGAGTTTAAAGTAGATCCTGGCACACTGGCCTTTTCAGTCACACTTTTTACCATCTTTGCCTTTGTTGCCATCAGTGTACTCCTGTACAGAAGACGGTCACACATAGGCGGTGAGCTTGGAGGCACACGGCGTGGCAAGATTCTGACCTGCATCATGTTTGTGAGCCTTTGGTTGTTGTATGTTGTGTTTTCAGCCCTGGAGGCTTACTGCCATATAAAGGGTTTCTAAGACTGGGGAGCTTTTTTGTGCTTACAAAGAGTAAGCTCCTCCTGAAGCTGCTAAAGAGATCGAGAGGCAGCCCAATGCATTCCAATCCCAGATCAAGCCACTTTTTCATCATAGAGCATAAAGACAGACTTTACTGGCAAAGAAAAACAAAAGGCAAAATCCAGCTGTTAAGTTGTATGCCTTGTAAAAAGGTTCTAATACTTGGTTGTAGCCAGCAACCAAAATATCTTCAAGAAATCAACCGCAAAAGGTTTTTTATTCAAATGGATTTAGACTTTTTTACATCGACAAACTGAGCTTGCTGTGTTACAAGTATTAAGAAAATTTGTTAGCCAGCCATTGAAAAATGATGTTTTGGCAATGTATTGGACAACAGGCCGGCAACATTGGCCCACCAGATATATGTCTTTACTTGTACAGTTGTTGCTATGCATCTCACTGAGTAAGCTGTTGCAATAGCTGTTAATTTACTTTGAACAGAAACAAGGTAAATCGTGGCACTGGAGTGAAGTAATTTGAGAAAATTGGCAAAATTCCATGCATTATATTTGTTATATGTGTGCAGTTGTCATTGATTAGGTCTACTTTTATTTATCCTGATGTAAACCCTGGACTATAAGTAGCATCTTGAAAACAATTTTGTTTGCAGGAGTGACATATACACCAACCCAACTTTTCCTAAAGCTGAGGATCAGTGTAAAATCCAAATTCACGCTAACTTTTCCTGTGGTGAATTTCATTGCTCTATTATGCATTTATTAAAGCTGCTGCACCTACAAATAATTAACTGGAAATGTCTTGTTTTTCACCTTTTAAACATCCAGTGTCCAGATTAGACTGCCTCATTTTGGAAAATATGTTTCAAGATATCATGTCTTATACCTTGGGTAAGTGAAACAATCACAAGCAAAACAGGCCTATTTTCTGATTTAAACAAACCATGATTTTTAATATGAACTTTACAGGTTCTTTGCTCAGTATTACTCACATTATTCTTAACTAACATTGAAAGGTTAAATTTAAATGTGGTAGGACTGAAGATTTGCTGACACACAGAGTGGTTATAAGCAGAATACATCTAAAATAAAACATGGAAGATGGAAACTTGGTGCAATTCTGAATACAGTACAAAAGGAAGGGAGATGGCTTTCTGCCTCCCATACTTGTTCATGTTACAAGTAAAAATTAACCACCATTTAACCTGATCAAGTAATTAGTTAAAAGACTAAAATATTTAAACACTTGCATATTTTTAATAGACAAAGTGATAAAGGAATGACAGTACAAGTGGAGTGCAGCACCGCAGCGTGTGAGAGTTTGAGGACAGCTCAGTGTTCCTGGATAACCACAGGAGGAATTTCTTCACTTGATATTTGGAATGCTGTATCCTGGACGGCCCTGGAATCTCAGTCATTGACTATGTTTAAGACAGAGATTAATAGATTTATAGTTATTCATAACATACTGGGATATGGGAATAGTGCAGGAAAATGGTGTTGAAACAGAGGATAAGGCATGATCAAGTATGATGGAGCAGGTTGGAGAATGGTCTGCTCTGTTTCAATGTTGCAATCTCCAGCAAGTGTGCACCTTAAGGAACTCCAGTTCAGAGGTGCTGAGATGGAGACTAAGGAGCACATATTACAGGGAAATGAGGAAGAGGAGAGTTACCTGAACACTAATCCAGGAGGCAGTCAGATTTTGTTAGGATAGGAAATGGTATGGGTTAGGTTATGATCACGATGAGGAGGATGTGACTGCATGTCAGGCAAGAAAAGTTATTCCAAGGTACAGTGCTGTCCTACCTCTTGGTAGAGATTCTTGTCGCTTATCTGGATGAGGACTAATCTGCAGTGAAAGTGAATAAACTGACCATTGACACAGGTGTCCAGTCAAATGGAAGTGAAAAGGAACACGGTATTGATAATGAGCAGTACAGGCAGAGAAATAAATACTGTTTTCTACAACTGTTTGTTGACAAATTCTAACAAAAAGACACAAAAAAACATAGATTTTCTTCGCATGGGGAGTTTATTGACTAAACCAGTCCAACAGTTCTCTCATCCAGTCCCATCTATTTCATTGTTAATATATCAAGCCGATATATTTTCAGATGAAACTGTTCAGAGATTCCTTTACACATATCTGGAGTAGGTAGAACTTGAACCTGGCCCTCCTGGCTCAGAGGTAGGGGAACTACCATTGTGCAACAAAAGCTCTTGTATAACCATACACCAACTGACAACTACCACCTGTTTCCCTTCTATCCTTAATTACTTGTTAGAGTAACACTGTAAAAGGGAGCTTTAAAAGTTGTTTTTGATCTTGGCATGCTACAGCTAGAAAAAAACATTGAGTGGAAGAGAAAGGATCCAACTGTCATGGTCAATGTGGGAACTAATGGCAGGATTAGGATGGAAGTTCGACTTGAGAAGCTAAAGTTCAAATTCATAAGCAAACCTATGGACTACAACAGGAGATCTGTGCAAACTGGTGTAGGGCCAAACAGATCTTAAATTTGAATGTACACTCAAAAGATTGGTATGGGAGATAGATTTTGATTAATGGGGCACTGGCATTAGTTCTGAGAAATGAGGGAGCTGTTCCAATGGGTCCGGCTCTATTTAAAGTGAGATGGGACCAGTGTCTTAATGAGACATAAGATATGGTTTTACACTAAAAAGGGAGAACAGAGTTGATGAGTAAGTTCAAAACAGGAAGAATTATTACAATGAAGTGAAAGGTAAAAGTCCTCAGAGTATTGAAGCAATTTTGGGTAAAAATAAGCATTGTATAAAGCTTGAGAGTGATAATTTCATCAGTGAAGAAGACCAAATTAGGAAAACTGATAAAAACTTAAATAAGAAATTCCCTATCTGAAAGTATAAGGGATTTATAACTGCATGGATAAGTTAGCAGCAGAGAACAGGTTTACAAGAATGTTACTTGGACTACAGGCATTCAACTATGAGGAGAGATGACACAAATTAGGTCTTCGTTCCATAGAATTTAGAAGTGGAAGGATGATCTAATCAAGGTCTTCAGGATATTAACAGGGAAAGACAGGGTAGATAAAGATAACCTATTTCCACTGATTGAAGATTTTAGAATGAGGGAGCATAGAATGTAAGGTTCAGGCCTTTCAGGAGAAATGTTAGAAAGCACTTCAACACGAAAAGAGTAGTGGATTTTTTGGAACTTTCTTCCTCAAACAGCAGGCAATGCTAATTCAATTGTTCAATTTAAATCTAAGTAAGGGTATCAAGGGATGTAAACTCAAGGCAGGCAAATGAACTTAGGCTACAGATCAACCATGATCTTATTGAGTAGTGGAGTAGGCTTGAAGGGCTGAATGGCCTATTTCTGTTCCGAAATGAATTTGATTTAAAAGCTAAAATTGAGAATTAACTATTTCTGTTATTGTTGTTTTGAAAAGACATAGTAAAGACAGTTGGTTGGTGGGGAAGCAGTCACAGACCAATATAATACAAGATGATACAAAAATAGTGGTGATGAAGATTCTTAGCTCAGAAGACAGGAAGTAGAATGAGTGTTGGGAGGAATTTATGGATAGAGTATTAATCAAGAAAGAGGAGCTTGTGACAAACTGTGAGAGAGTTTGATCTTCATATAGGTAGGGCAAATCAAGTCAGCAAGAGTAGCAGGGAAAAAAAATCACAGAATGTATTTTGCATTGATTACCAAGAGAATGAAAGATTATTGGGGGATATGCAGGAATGTAGAGTTCGGGTTAAAATCAGATTAGCCATGATCTTATTGAATGGAGGAGCAGGCTCGAAAGGCTGAGTGGTCTATTCTTCTCCTTGTTTTTGTGTTTGTATTTGAAACGGTTTTTGAGAATGATACGATGAGAAAACAATCGGGGAGAGGTTACCTTAGATTTTGTTTTGTTTGCTAAGGCAAGCTTATTTAGTGATCTCACAGTGAGCAATACTCTGGGAAATAGTGATCAGAAAATAATAAATTTCACATTCAGTTTGAGTCTAAAGTATTAAATTTGAATAATGCAAATTAAAGAGGTATAAATTGGCTAAGGTAGATTGGGAAATTAGATTAAATGGAATTATGGAAAACGTGAAGAAATATTTCTTAATTCTCAACAAAGCTACTGCAGTACATTGAGAAATAAAAACTCCACAGTGAAACAAATTTGTTGTAGTTAACTAAACAGGTTAGGTTAAAAGAGGCTTCTAGTATGAGCAAATAGAGAAGTAAACCCGAGATTGGGAGAGCTTACACACCAGCAGATGGAGTACAATGTTGAGAAACAATGTTATTTATTTTGGTTGGGACAATTAAAAAATATGCATTTTATATGATGAGAAATTATTACATGTAGGCATTCAGTGGAATTTACTTGATACAGCAAACAATTCAGAAGTCAAATGATATATTGGCTTTTATTATAAGATGGTTGGACAAAAAGAGAGTCTTGCTGCAACTGTAGAGGGCTTTGACAAGACTGTATCTGGAGTACTGTGTACAAATTGGCCCAAGGAGGTCAATTGAACGAGTGCAACATATGATCACTACTAGATGTGTTCAAGATGAGGCAATCATTCTGAGGAAAGATTGAATAGGATGGGTCTTTATTTTGTGGCATTTAGAAGAATAACAGGTTACCTGTTTGAAACATATAAGATTCTGATGGGGCTTGACAGGATGGATGCTGAGAGATTGTTTTCCCAGGTTAGAGAATAAGGCTCGAGGGACTGAATGGCATATTCCTGTTCCTGTGTTCCTAAATGGATTTGATTTAATTGCCAAAATTGGGAAATAAATATTTCTGTTACTGTCATTCTGAGAAGATATAGATATAATGAAAAATAATTGGGTGGGGCACAGCAGTCGCAGACCAAAATAATAAAGGATGATATAGTCACAATATAAGGTGACAACCATTAAGGGGACAGCTGTTTTGGATTGAGATAAGAAGAATCTTTTTCACAAACTTAACTGGAACAGCTACAAGAGTAGACCAGAGACTGGGAATTCTATGGTGAGTAACTCCTGATACCCCAAAACCTATATCCCATCTTCAAGGAATAAAGTGCAACAGAATACTCCCCATTTAGTTGGATGAGTGAGACTCCAAGTAGATTCAAGCTCAACACCTTTAAGGCAGCCCACTTGATCGGACCCCTATGCAGCGCCTTCAAACTTTACTCCATTTAACGTTGATGCACTGTGGTAGCAATGTGTACCATCCACAAACTTCACTGCAGTAATTCACCAAGATTCCTTTAACAGCACCTTCCAAACCATGACCTCCAAAATGCAAAGGGCAGCAGATTCATGGGAATAGCACTAACTGCAGGCTCCCTTCCAAGTCCACGCCCATCCTAACATGGAACTATAGTCATGAAGGAACAGTGACAGAGGGTCAAAACTTTGGAACTACACTCCAAACAGCACTAAAACATGAAATCAATTGTTCACACATGCATACGTCATTAAGCAAGATCAATGTAGTCCATATTGGATGCATCTGATGCGAATATGCATATACAAAGAATATGTGATAAACATATGAATTTTTTTTTACTATGGCATACTCTTCCTACCGGCATAAACGGCACATTGCGTCATTTCTGCTCTCTTATTCTTTCCAGTGTCCCACACAATTCTGAATAAAAATATCAGTGCATTAGAAGCACATCATTTTGTTGACAGGGATGCTTTTCATTAGTGAAACCTGCCATCAGCTGACAATACTACAAAGAAGGAAAGTCTCTGCATTATGACTGCAACTTTGCTGCTAC